GATCGTGAAACAATTTTAAATGAAACTTTTACCTGTAAAAGTTTGTCATTCTACCAAAAATTATTAAAAATTAATGCATTTTCCATTTTTAACAGGAATCAAGCTTTCATATATAAACAATTGTGTGCTGATTTTTATGAAATTATATCGCACAGTTTTTGTGAAAATTGTGTTTCGGAGTTTGATTCATATTCCGATGTAAACTGATTTTACTCATTTTCAATACCAAACTGCCTAGGACAATAGTGAATCATTTGGCCGAATTTCATTAATTTATTTAGCATCGTTTTTACGTGACCGCGTTTTAAACATACAGACGGACATAGCTAAATCGACTCCGAATTTGATAAGGACTCGGTCTCATATTAATATTTCTTGGTGTTACACACGGAAAGACAAACTTATATATACCCTCTATCACATCGCTGGTGGTGGAGGGTATAAAAATGGTGTTTTTCACACACACAAATCACAATTAAACACAACAAAAACGACAAAGAATAATTTTTACAGTTTTGATTTTGTTGTCATTTTCTCTTCATTTTCGTAGGCCAAAGTTGAATATTTTTCAACTTTTGTACATCGTGCACAAGTTTGACGTATTGGTTGTGACCGCTCTCATTTAAACATATATAGTAAACACGAGCTGTCAGTCGCAGTTCGTCGTAAAGTATTGTATGTGTTTGGACCTTAAGTAATAATACGTGTAAAGTCGGTGTAGCTGAGTTGACAATCCTTGATCGTTGTTCGTTGGACTCCGTGTCGTTTCGGTGCGAAGAACCGATAGTCGTGATGCTGCTACAACAACAACCATAAGTAATAATAGCCCTGACATGCGATGCGTAAATCCAATTTACCATATGCCTAGAAATCTTGCATGTCTAATAAGTCCAAGTTCACACGGACACGAATGTCGAAGTGCTTTACGTGAGTACCTGCCGTGTTGGCTCATCTCTTTCATCCACTGGGTGAGCAAAAATATAACGACTCACCACCGCTCCTCTGTGTATCTTACACGCAGGTTGAAATTTACGTATATGGGTGCCGGTCCATTATACGTGTACTTTGTTGAAGTTCTCGAGCTATCTAATCTCTTGCCATAGTAGTCCCATTGAGGAAGAACAGGTACCATAAGCAAGCTCAATCTAACCCCAACAAGTAAAAACCTTATATGTCGCTCAACCACACTACTGAGATGGCTCTGTTGATTCGGCAACAGCACCGAACACGGATCATTTTAACAGACAACGATAACAGAAATTATATTTCACCGTGTATCAGTCTTATAACCAAGCACCCCCTGCGTGGATCCCGAAGGAACCAACTGACCAGCCAGGACAAGTCCTGTGGGCAACTGGCCACCCGTAGTACCAGATTATGTGGTGCTCTGGTTAAGCTATGTATACACGGTTGTTAGATCTTACAACGTTGTCAGTAAATGTGCAGAAAATGTCTAAAATCTGTGTCAACTTACAAATTTTGTATTGCAACATTGTCAGTAACGCTTTTTCCGACAACGTTGCAAAAGAAAAATTGTAAGTTCAACCGATTGTTAGACATTTTCTGCACATTTTACTGACAACGTTGTAACATCTGACAATCGTGTATCACAGATTTTAGACCTCTTTTCAATTCATGCAAGGACTAGACCAGGCAGTGAATTGTAAACACCAGTTTATTGTCCCGGAAGACCATGATGGGACACCATGATGGGACATTTCATCATGGAAACATGCCCCGGGGGAAGTTCACACGGACAGTTGAATTACCTAATTCGGCCTATGAATAACAATTGCCAATTAACCCGTTTCTACGACACATTCGTAATTCGATTCCAGTTCATCGCCATGTTTTTTCATTCATTATTTTGCAATTTTTTGGAATATTTGTGTGTATGATATGATATGATATGATATGTATGATACAAATATGTACATATGTATATACATATGTATGTATGATACAAAAATACGTTTGTTACATTATTATAACAATTTAAGTAATATATTTTCTATTTATTTGTATTTTTTTGAAATTTAATTTTTTCTTTGCCTCTAACCAATGAAAACAAACAACTTATTATGACAAATACCCGATAAAAATTAGAGATGACACTAGGGATGCCCAACGGGAATTCCCGATTCCCGAAAATCCCGGGATTTTCGGGATTTGAAAGTACCGAAAACCGGGATTTTAAAAAATGAAATCTCGGGAAATTTCGGGATTTTAAAATCCCGAATTTTTAAGTATTTTTCCGCTATTTTATACATTATAAAGTACTAAATAAGAGAATTTAAAAAGTTTTTGGACTTAAGATGACTCTACTAACTTAAAAGCTGAAATATCAAAAAAAAGTAAGAGTGCTATATTCGGCTATGCCGAATATGCTTTTCTATAAACATCAGGGTGATATTACTCATCAAATTTACTGATAGGACCTTATATGAGAGGTAGGGTGAATCATTGACCGTTTTTATAAAATTTTTCATAATTTTTTTAGACCAATTTTGGTTCATATACTTTCCGGTAGGAAGATTTACGTTCCTATAAAAGTTTCTTAGCTTTTGGCGAGTAAGAAACTTACTTATCTCAAATTTCATCTCTACACTCGTACTTGTAAGCCAGTAATGAGCGTTAAAGTATTTATCTGGATGGGACCTTATGTAGGGGTAGGGTCAATTATGGACCGAAACACATAAAACATGGTAGAGAGATTTTGGCTCGCATGAAACATATGTGTATCGAATTTCATCGCTATACTCGTATTTTTAAGCCAGTAATGAGCGTTAAAGTCATTTTTTTAACGGGACCTTATATGGGGGTAGGGTCAATTATGAACCGACCCACATAAAATTTGGTAGAGAGGTTTTGGCTCGTCAGGGATTTACGAATATCAAATTTCATTGCTATACTAAATAGGCATAGATACTATCGGATATATAAAAATAACAAGTACGAAATTATAGGCGGGCGAGGCCGACCATATAACCCCATACACCAGTTATGAGAGTAAAATGTAATTTAGTTTTCATAATAAAAGTATATCTCGCCTCCGATATATCCTAGCACTTTATTGTTAAAAAACTATTTTTCTGAAATATGCTTGGGGGAAGGACGCCATCATATGAGTCGATCCTCATAAAATTTGGAGGGCGAATTTACGGTTACATAAAATGTTTTATGCTGAATTTCATTGCGACAGTTCTCTTTTTAAGCGAATTGTGGACACTAATTCTTTTTTAAAGATGTGTTTTGTATGGGGGCTCGGATCAAAAGCCCGATCATTTCAAATTTCATCAGCGTATTTTAGGACAGTATAAAACAAAAGCACTACTCCGGAGAAACCCAATATACCATCCCTACTAAGGGTATAAAAAGGGCAATAAATAGGCATTGATACTATCGGATATCTATAATGGAAGTCAACCTGTCAATAAGATGGCGAGAAGATAATTCCCTTGGTTAGTGAACACGGGATATAAGGTGGAGGAGATATAGGTGCAGTACAGGTGCTCTATGTAGCCTCGTATTGATCCCTATTACACATACTATTTAAATATTATTTGGAAACCATTGTAAATTTTATATCATGGGTATTATTTCAGGTTTTTATTCTACTATTCAGTGCCTGGGATGGAAAGATTTTTATTCTAAGTATGTACTTTGAATTAATTTGTTTTTCTTTTCACAAAATGCTTATTGGAAAGTAAACACCTACTAAGAGTATTCATATTGCAATATGAAATAAAACATTTTATTTTTGTCGGTAAATTATTAAGATTTTTTGAATTTTTTTTATATTTTTCGGGATTTAGAAATCCCGAAAATCCCGGGATCCCGATATCGGGATTCCGGGATTTATTTAAAAATACCGAATCCCGGGATTTCTAAAAACCAGTCCCGATTGGCATCCCTAGATGACACTCATTCATTCGTAATTCGTACGTAATTCAAACTGAATTACGTACAGCTTGAGAAATTCGCAGCTGAAATTTGGTATGGCCAATCATGTCATTCAATTTGTAATTTATACCAAGTTCACACGAGCAGTTGAATTACTTAATTCGGCCTCTGAATGACAATAGCCAATTAACCCGTTTCTAAGACACATTCGTAATTCGTTTTAACAGTTCATCGCCATGTTGTTTTTTTCATTCATTATTTTGTAATTTTTTTGGTATATTTGTATGTGTGTATGATACAAAAATACGCTTGTTACATTATTTCAACAGTTTAAGTACATATTTTTATTTATTTGCATTTTTTTGTAATTTTATTTTTTATTTGTCTCTAACCAATGAAAACAAACAACTGATTTTGATAAATACCCGATAAAAATTGGGGATGACACTCATTCATTCGTAATTCGTACGAAATTCAAACTGAATTACGTACAGCTTGTGTAATTCGCAGCAAAAATTTTGTATGGCGAATCATGTCATTCAGTACGTAATTGGAGGTTGAATGATGAATGAGAGCCTGAATTACGAATAATTGTACCATGTGAACGGGTATTAGGGTTGAATAACGAATGAGAGCGTGAATGACGAATAATTACTTCATGAGAACGGGGTATAAAAAGTCTGGCATTACCCCTTAAAAAATCATTTCGTGAAAACCATCTCAAATGACTTTTAAATGAATCATGGAAATTAAAAATAGTTTTCACTTAGGAACGGAATGTTAAACTCATATGCACCCTTCCTACTGAGTATGGTAAAGAATGGTGATAAGTATGAGTAAAATGGAGATGAGTAAAAAACCCATTTCCAAATAATATAATTTAACATAAAATAATATTTATTTTAATTCTCATATATGTATCTACATATATTTAAATAATTTATGTCTGAAATTTGTACCAGTATTGTTAATTGATATAACAAACCATGAATATTGTAAATATCAAGTTAGCTACGAAATAAATTAATAAATAAATAATACTACTCATTACTGAAAACGTTTCATACTTATAATAAATTGGAAATTTAAATCCAAAGTTTTCTTGTTTTCTTTCCAATTCAATAACTTTATTTATTGAGTACAGCCAATAAATTTATAAATACGAAACGCTTTACAAATTTAGCTAATTATATGTATAAACATTAAAACAATGACAACAATAATTAACAATTACTAATAAAAAATTCGAGATATAATTTTCTTTGTATTCCGATAAATGGCATCAATTAATTATTTTGTAGTTATTTGCACTTGTTTTCCATTTCTTTTAATAGCCGTTGATTGTTTTTATAGGATTGTGTCCTTACATGAAATATGATATATATTCATGTGGCATTACACCCCTTCGAGGATAAAACGTATGAGAGACTGAATAATTTAATAAATTCGTTATATCACTCATGTAAATATCAGCAAATCGAAAAAGCCGCCGGGAAAAATATGTTGGATTGTGATAGGTCCTAAAAACACTCCCAAATTGTTCGTTAAATACAGTTTTTGTTAGGTTTCTGAAAATAAAATTGAAAAAAGAAACATTTAATTAAATCTTTTTGCTCATAGTTTATTTTTATATTCTATTTTATTAATTTATTTTGTAATATTAAGCCTTCGCGGTCAAAATAACAATATTACATAGTAATAATATAAACCTGATGTCAATAAGTAGTAATAAAATTAAATAATATATTAATAATTAATTGAAAACAAAATATAAATATACATATGTACAACAATATACTTATAATGCATTAGGTGTCATCCTTAAATAGTTATCAATAACTGATAGTAGTTGGAGAGGAAGGGAGAAATAACAAGTTAGAGTACTATATTCGGCTACTTGTTATTAAAACCTAACTATCTAATTTTTAGATAACTTGACAAAAATTTTGTTTCCGTAGTGAGGGTACTAACATTTATGTATATGTGGAACTAATTATGATTAGGTTCATAAAATTTTATATTAATAGGCCAGTTGCACACATTTTAATATAATTATTTATCTATACACAAAACATACTCATGTCGAATTTTATTTGGATATATTTATTTTTTTATTTAATAATAAATTAAGTTATATTAAGTGATTTTCAGAAGTAAAATTCCGTATAACCATTTATATGTGCAAAATACACATTTATGTCGAATTTTATCCCGATGACTTTGATTGTCAATGTGCGTTTAAGTAATTTTCGGAAATGACCCTTATATGGTAGTTGTGACCAATAATGGACCGATCAGAAAAAATTTCGTATAATGATTCATATGCAAAAAAAAAAATTAAGTCGAATATTACTCCAATAGATTTATTAATTAATAAAATATGTGCGTTTAAGTGATTTTCGGAAGTGGACTTTATATAGGAGCTATGACCAATTACGGGCCTCTCCAGAAAAATTTTGTAGAGTGATTCATATGTATGTACACAAAACATATTTGTGTCGATTTTTATTAAGATAGCTTTATTTGATAATGAAATATGTGAGTTTAAATGATTTTCGGAAGAAGGCCTTATATGGAAGCTATGACCAGTAATGGAGCGATCCGGGGAAAAATTGGTAGAATGATTTGTATGTACACAAAACATATTCAAGTTGAATTTTATACCGATAGCTTTATTTATCAATGAAATATATGCGTTTCGGAAGTGGACCTTACATGGGAGCTATGACCAATTATGGTCCTATCCAAAAAAAATTCGAAGAGTTATTCATATATATCCTTATATGGGAGCTATGACTAATAATGGACCGATCCGAAGAGAAATTTGGTAGAATGATTTGTATGTACACAAAACCTATTCAGCTCGAATTTTATCACAAAAGCTTTATTTATCAATGAAATATGTGCGTTTAGATGACTTTTGGAAGTGGACCTTATATGGGAGCTATGACCAATTGTGGGTCGACTGAGATCTACGTTCATATTATATTTGTATGTAGAAAATTTTGTGCTGATACCGATATATTTGAGGGAGTTATTAACGATAAACTAATTTCCGGAATATACATCTTTGTATGGGGGCTATGGGAAATATTGGTTCAATTGTTATGAGTTTGAACATACCTGATCCCTGGCACAAAAAAAATAATCTGTGACAAAATTCATCGAAATATCTTTGGTAGTTTCTGAGAAAACTACTTAAGAATTGGAAAAAAACGTTATTGTTTTTCTAGGTAGTCTGAAATTTTTACTTTTAACTTTTTATTCCGTGAACCGATTTTACTGATTTTCAATACTACACTGTACCGGAAATAAAAAATATTGCTTCGTTTTAACGTGAGCGTCTTTTACACAGACAGACAGACGGACGGACGGACAGACATAGCTAAATCGACTCAGAATTTCATAAGTATCAAGAATATATATGTATATTCTTTGTTGGGTCTCAGATGAATATTTCTTGGTGTTACACACGGAAGTGCATTTACAAGGGGAAAAATAGAATCGTAATGTACACATAATAAGCATTTCGTATAGATATAAAACACAAATATTGGTTGAAAAATTTAAAAGTTATTGCGAATTCCCAGACCATTTAAGGTGGTATGCATTTCGTATAGATATAAAACACAAATATTGGTTGAAAAATTTAAAAGTTATTGCGAATTCCCAGACCATTAAAGGTGGTATTAGTATTTTACATATGTACTGTCAAAATTTCCATCTGTAAAAGTTGTACATATCGTAGACAAACATAAACAAAACAGCAGTTTTGCTTTGAAATAGAATTTTTTGAAAAAAATAAATTAAAGAAAGTGAATAAAGAACTTGAAAAAGTAAGTATTTTTTAATATACTAATTTATAATTTTAAAAATTTTTACAAATTAAAAAGACAGCTTTGATTACATTTATAGGTTATGTCATACGGAAAAACACAGGCAGGTGTGATAGAAAAAATTATGAATCGTATGTAAAATAACAATTTTGATATACATTCGGAATTACATATGGATAAAAGTGACTGTACATATTTTTGTAGGATATACATAATTTACATAATTTTTTGTAGGATATATTGTAAAAAACCATTTTGTTAAATAAAATATGTCTGTAATAACTGCAATATTAGACTTTCTCTTTAAACGATAAGGCAAACTTGTTCTCAGCTATGGTTAAAAAAGTTTGACTTTTCCGACGACCGTTTCAAATCTCCAATTTAATTTTTTTTTGAAACTTTTTTAAACAAATTTCAAAATTTTTAGGAGATCAGATGGGGACAATAATGGACAATAAATAAGGGAATGAAACAGTAAAAAATTAGATCAGTTTAGCTGTACATGAGGATTTCGATATATATGTATATATATATATATATATATATATATATATACTAGCTATACCCAGTGTGCTTTGCTACCCTAAAAGGAATATGTATAAATAAATACCAGATTTATTATATGTTACATATAAAAGATGTCAAGCAAATTATTGCAAGTTCGCCAGTTTCTATCTATCGCCAATTTCTATCTATCTACAAAAAATTTGAATAATATAAGAGTTTCCAAGATGCACGAAATTTTGTATTTAATTCATATATGTGGTGCCAAGCCCCCCATTGAAAGTCCGCCCGTTATTCTCTAAATGTTCACATGAATGTCAAAGTTCTTCATGTAAAATTTTAAGATTCTAGCTCTAATAGTTTCTCAGATATACGAATTTAATTCATGTGGGGGCTTCAAGCCCCCCGGATGAAAGTCCGCCCTTTTTCCTCCAAAATATTCAGATGATTATTGAAATAATTTGTTCAAAATTTGAAGAATCTAGTTCTATTAGTTTCCCAGTTAAACGAAATTTTGTATTTAATTCATATGGGAGGTACCAAGTAACCCATTGGAAGTCCGCCCGTTATATTCTAAATGTTCAGGTGAATGTCAAAGTTCTTCAAGTAAAATTTAATGATTCTAGCTCTAATTGTTTCTCAGATATACGAATTTTTCTATTTTATTCATATGGGGGCTCCAAGCCCCCCAGATGAAAGTCCGCTCTTTTTTCCTTAAAAATGTTCAGATGAATATTAAAGTTCTTCGTGCAAAATTTTAAGAATTTAGTTCTATTAGTTTCCCAGATAAACGAATTTTTGTTTTTAATTAATATGGGAGGTGCCGCTCCCCTCATGGGTAGTCCGCCAATTTTTTACCCAAAATGTTTATATGGATGTTAAAGTTCTTTGTGCAAAATTTTAAGAATTTAGTTCTATTAGTTTCCCAGATAAACGAATTTTTGTATTTAATTAATATGGGAGGTGCCGCTCCCCTCATGGGTAGTCCGCCAATTTATTACCCAAAATGTTTATATGGATGTTAAAGTTCTTCGTGCTAAATTTTAAGAATTTAGTTCTATTAGTTTCCCAGATAAACGAATTTTTGTATTTAATTTATATGGGAGGTACCACGCCCCCTAATGCTAGTCCGCCTACTTTTTATCCTAAATGATCATATTGACACTAAAGTGGCTCCGACAAAATTTGAGGACTCTAACTGTTATATTATCTAAAATATACGGATTTTATATTTTCTTAATGTGGGCGTGGTTCATCGCCCACTTGAAATTTCGAAATAAAAAGTAGCCTATTACCTATTCCAGACATGCAGGAATATGCTGTGAAAATTTCAAGAAAATCGGTTCAGCCGTTTAGTAGTCTATAACGTTCAAACATACAAACATACAAACAAACACACATTCATTTTTATATATATATATATATATATATATATATATATATATATTCAAAGGTCAAATTTTGCAATATTTGTTAATTCTCAGTATACCATGTCGAAATAGTACTTATTTGTCGGCCATATTTAATAAATATGACTGGGATTTTTAGTATAAAGTCTTATGTCTAAAATGACAGCTATAGTTCAAAAAATCGTAAAAACACTATTCATTTTAATAATGCTATATATAATTAGAAGAATAACAGAAATAAAACAAGCAAGTAAGAGTGATATGTTCGGCTATGCCGAATCTTAAATACCCTCCACCAGAAAGCTACATTAATTAATTAAAATTATTACATAGTAAACCTCATACAATTTCACCGAAATGTTTTTTTTTCCAAATTCGTTGTATTTTGTATTTTATTTTAATATTTTAAACTCTATTTTGTCCTAGGTTTTCTGCTAGCTTTATTTATCCAGCGTACTTAATATGTACATCAGCATTTGCGTAATTTCATTAGCTTTATAATGGTATATAACACTTTATGGTTTCATTGTATTATCAATTCAATTTTTCAGATTAACTAAAATATGAACACAATTTATCCAAAACATCTACTCATTTGTTATACCGCTTTGTACCGTTTCGGTAGATTTTATTGAGGATTATTGTGTATTAATTTCAACGAATTATATTAAATTCATCTGTGTTAAAATGTAAAAACTGAAAATTTTACGAAAAATTAGAAAATTTCGAATACATTTACTGTTACACAAAAATTTCTTTTATGCCATTGAAAGCGTCTCTCAAGGACCTTTCTTATGATACCAAAATTTTATATCTTTC